CGGTCTCCTCAAAGATGAAAAGACTCGAGGCGACGGAAATGTGGTTCTACTGAAGGATGCTGAGGATATCATGGACCGAGCGTGTGAGAAACGAAGTCTTGGAGAGGATGCAAGCAAGGAGGAGGCTTAAACTTAACACCAGGAAGAGGCAGCTGAAGTTTCTGGGACACGTAAATGAGAAAGGAGGGCCTGGAGAATCTGATACTCACAGGTCGAATAGAAGGAAAGAGAGACAAGGGAAAGCAATGCATGATACACCTGGTGGGCTTAAGCAACTGGACGACAGAACGTGGTCTGGAGGAGGTGGCAGAGGGACGGATGAGAGCTACCAGGTATAGGAAAAAGTGGAGAGCCATGATCGCCTACGAACTAAAAGGCACATAAAAAAAATATTTTTTCGCACTCTCTATATTTGTAAATTTGCTATATTTATTAGGGAACAGCGATTAGTATCGGAGATGGAGTTTTTGTCGACATAAACATTATGGATATAAGAATGAACACTGCATGGCTGCAGTCAGTTTCATGCCTCCAGCAATCTTCATACTTGGTTGTTGATTTCTCTACCCATACAGTTTATATCATAATAGACGAGCAAAAAAAAAACGATTTTCCGGTAACTGATGATGTTATCTTTTAATCCGGACAAATTTCACAAGTAAGCATTTAAATATCTCTCTCTCTCTCTCTCTCGTACCGGATTATCCGTTTGTCGGAGCAGCGAAAGTTACGTAATAAAAATTGAATAACACATCTCCAATTAAACTTCCCTCGAATCTCTTCACCAACATCGATTGCTAGAAACTTATATTAAACTATTATTAAATTTAAACTAATTTTATATTATTGAATTAGTTTGGCTATCGGATGAAATTCAGATGTTTGCTCGTAATTTTGTCCAGATTGAAATATATGCCGGAAAATTGGTGGTGTGTCTCTGTTTCTGCGTGTAAGTGTGCGATGTTTTAATCTTTTTTTTTTTTTTTTTTTTTTTTTTTTAGGCAATAAATGACAAATCTTAAGGTTTTATTGCACTCATTAAGATATTAAAAATTTAATTCGCCAGTACTTATCACTTTATGGCTGTCATAAATACCTAGCAGTTATCATTTATGACAAAAAGTTCAAAATATCTAACCTACTTATCACCAAGAACATGGGACCTCAAAAATCACTAATATGTAAAAATAATGTTGTTTGCGAATAACAGCATTAAATTCTTACATAGATTAATCGGCCACCGCACTTCCTTGTAAGTTAACTTGCCTTTTATTGAAACATTGTGCAATTCGTGCACATATCGTTGATTGCATCACAAACAACCAAATTATGATTAACATTAGACAAATATTAATATTACAGAAAAAAGTAATATACAGCAATTACTGGACATTTATTTCTTAAAAAAAGAACATTCTATTGATCAGATTTTATAAATTAGGCTTTTTACCTCGTGTATATATTTTTTTTTTTCATGTAATTTTATATGCGCAGTACTTAGTGGAAAGTGCTCAATATCGGTGATAGAGCTAATATATTCAGTTGTATGGATATTAGTTTGTGACCCTGGCTTTCACGTTTTTGCCGTCATCAGACAGTTTGATGATCGCAAAAGCGAGAGACCCAGGGTCACAAACTCATATACGTACATCTGAGATATATAATCTGTTACATTCCATGCTAATAGGAATATGGAATGGACAAACACGGTGGATAAATAGTAACATGTTTATTGTAGAAACCAGTACAACAAGCAAGGAAGTAATAGTTATACACACGGTCGTCGCAAGTTAGTACAGTTATGTGCGTGCTGCTATGGAAGGCCGCTAGTTCTCGCAGATCCCAGCTGGTCTCTGCTGTCCGCTGTCCTAACGGATACGTCTAGGTGGTTACTACCTATAGTACCTCATAAGGGTGACAGGTTATTCCATTACATCAATATATATATATATATATATATATATATATATATTATATATATAAGGGAATTAAAATTAAGCAACGCTCTTATTGTACTTGTTCGCAACCTAAACCTTCGTGGCTGTAAAATTATTTTTCAATAGACTACAGAACACCAGGCCTTTCTTAAGTCTGTCAAACATGGGGAATAATGGATCTTGAACTCCCACACTGACCTATAGCATGATCGGTGGTCTGAATCCATAAATATATTTCTGCTTATCTGGTAGACGCCCCAAAACTAAAAATCCCAATATTTTTTTTTTATCTACATCTGTAAGAAGAATTACATTCCTGCTTTTTGCAAGGTTAAGTAAACGCAAAGACGTCAACCTGGATTTGAACCCGGCACGCTCATTTTGTTGTCCGCGTCAATAACTATCTTTCTCTCTTCCTCCCACTCTCTATCTCTTCTATCTCTTTCTTGCCCTCTTTCTCTCTGTATTGGCTGCAAAAGTAATAAAGCGATGAGTAAAAGAGTTAGATTTCCCTAAAATAGTATAAATCGTGACCTTGTGAACGTGCGTCAACTTTATATCAATCTTGTCTCTCATATATTAAACATTGTTACGTTTTTGTGAGTATATCTATCACACACACACACTGAGTTATTTTCAGAGATCAAACATTTTATGACATCGATCATTGTACGCAAACTGGTCTCTTTGTGAAACATATATTGAAATATTGTAATTATTTTGAGTGAAATTATTTTATTAAAACAAACCAAAATAGTTTCGTTATATTCTTCGTTCGATAGTGAGTCACAGTGAGAAGATTAAACCCATTATACTATCAATGGTCTGCGAGAACGGCTAAATAAATATTGCTCAAGAGCAGACACTCGGTTGATATTTTCAAAGGTTATCTTCATACAACACATCTCTTAGTAGCAAGACAATATTACTAACTCTCTACTGTAGACGTCCAACATTGGTATTGACTAAGCTTAGGTTAGTATACAAATGTCAGGCAGTCAACAGGAATCGAATTTACTGCAGTAGTAATGGCCTTACAAACTATTTCTAAATGGTGAAAAACAAAAAAATAAGCAAAGATCGAATCATTGTTTTCGGATCTATCTATACGCGCCCTATAGATAAATCTGAAAAGAATTATTCGATTTTTACGGCTTATCAACACTTTGCAGGTTATTTAAAGCCAGAAACTTTTTTTTTGTTAGATAATAATGGTTTAGTGATACAAGTCTTACTAATTAACCCATAGCTGGGGGATGTGGATTCATACTGTGACGTCCCGCAGCCTTCGCTCGCTCCTCGCTGCTTCGTTCGGGTGTCGCCGCTCCAAACGTGACGTTCGCCTGTCTGCGTCAGTCGTGTTGTTCCGTCCTGTGACGACCAACTGGCTTGTTATTAGTCGCGGCACCCAAATGTGACGTTCTAACCTTTTGGTAATTCGGATGGGAATCTGGTCAGATCCGATATCAGCCTCGTTGTTCCCAACTCGCTTCCAACGTCTGGTTACCGAAGTAACTGCGTTGATCTCCAGTCCGCCTACCCACGTTGTGAATTGATCTTAGGCAGACGAAATCAATCAGTCGTTGGGGCCGTAATGCAAGTTGAGTTCAAATGAGGGTGGTATCGCACAAATTTGTGTAAAATAAAATAACTCAAAAGTTCAAGGTATCAAAAAAGGGATAACAATACTTTATATCTGGTTGCTGGATACATAGGACTGCGTCTATCTCCCGACCCGTTATATGGATTCGTGACACGTTGTTTTTGTTAGGTGAGTTTTAACATCTTAAGTTGTCTGTTCTTTAAGAAGCTGGTTCTTGGTGTGTCTTCAGGCGATAGTCGTAAAACTTGTGTTGGTGGTATGGATCTAAGTCGCTCTTCAAAAATAAATTGTTCTTGGATTGAAGATGAGTTCGGAAGTTGCGCGAATCTTACAAGTCAGCTTTGCGAGGCCCACTTCAACTGCGAACTGGAAGCTGAACTGGACTGAACTGGGAAACTGATTTTCGCTTGCTGCGACTTTGCTTATATGGACGCCGACCAAAACCGAGGTGGGCTTTGTTGGGGGTTTGAGGTTCCTTGATAATTCCAAATCCACAATCCCCTTTGTTTTCGGTCAGGAAAAATTTATTATTTCCATTTTTTGGAAGTCTTCTCTTACCCCTACCTTCAGAGGGCGTTAACGATTTTCCTACTTCTTCGCAGTAACATCTTATACCTATCCTCTTTAAGGAGTAGTAGCAGCCCCCCCCTGCATCACATGATCACCTCCGCCTGGCTCTCGTTAACATTCATCCAATGGCCGATCAACAGTGTGGGCGTGACCAGACTAGCCTTGTTCCTTAAAAAAAAAATATCTTGCCCAAAGAAAAAAGAATTATCTCCTCTTTTTCTTTCTTTTTTTTTTTCTATTTCCTTTCCTTCTTTTCTATTCTATTCTCTCTTCTTCTCTGGCCGCCAACAGAACAATGCGACCAGTAGTGTGATAACCTCAATTCTCATCTGGACTTCGTCAATCAGATTTTCGCCAATTATCAGAGTGGGTGGTCATCCAGCAAACACCGCCAACTTTTCCGATAAAATAGTTTCGCTATAATCGCCAGATTCTAACAAAACCCAGACCGTGTCTAACGATATCTTTCCCTCGACAAAGACTTAACCTATTTTCCTTTGTTTTCTTCATCTCGTGGGTGGTCAGGGCATTCCCGTGACACAGTTAAATGTTTATCTATTCTGTCCCGGAGTTTAGCTAGCCGATCTGGAATTTGTCAATTAGATTTTCGCCAGCACCAAGTGGCTGTTATCTATTCCCGATAATATAAGTCCGCCATCACGACACAGTTAATTTTTATCTATTTAGAATTTTCGACAATGGCAATGAAACCTTTCACCATTTGTCACTATCAAAATTTCATTTCTTTCCCTTCTTTTCTTCCTTTTCCTTGCTTCCCTAAATGGTGTCACAATACCTTTCACAAGGATATTTGTGAGTAAAGGATTCTAATTGGTCCTCGGCTCTCCTATTAACAATTCCGAGATATTATATCCATCCGCACATCGAAGCTCGCGGCACTTGGTATTCCCAAGCAGTCACCCATCTAGGTACTGGCCAGGCTCGGCGTTGCTTAACTTTGGTGATCGTACTGGAAACAGTGTTTCAGCGTGAAAAGAATGGTTATCTTTAAGAATATTAGCCCTGAATTGTCTCCAATTTTTGAAAAACTGTTCAACCGTTACCTAAATGATAAATCCTTCCCAGAGCTATGGAAGGTGTCAAGCGTATGCCCAGTTTATAAGAACACTGGTGAGCACTCATTTCAATATCAGCCTATAAGCCACCTCAGTGTCATTAGCAAAATTTTTCAGGCTATAATAAAAAAAAATTGCCGAGAACCTTAAAAATGACAAACTCCACAGCGACAAACAGTACAGATTTCGATCTGCTCGGTCCACCGCTGATATCCTGTCATTACACACGCAATCAGCGAGGCATTAGACAATAGATACAAGGTGCGGCAATTGGAGGTTGCAACACAATCTCTCCTGTTATGGAATCACTGGAAGAGTTTTCTATAATCAAGTCCTTCCTCACAGGTAGGTCCATGACGGTAATTGTTAATGACCATTCAACCGAGGCCCGTCAGATCAATGCAGACGTCCCCCAACCTTTGCTGCTTCTTGCTTTATATAAATGATCTGCCTAAAAATATACTCTGGTCTTTAGTGAACATCTATTCTGACGATACAACGGCACCAAAATCTAGATGACTAGTCTGGCAACTGATCTCTCCTCTGACCGAGCCATAACAGCTCGATGGGGGGGGGGACATCTGGTCACATTCAATACTTCAACATCCAAACTTGTAACGTTCAGCCACTACCGAGCAGACTATGAATAATGGTCCGTTCTCTGTGCCGCTCAAGTAAGAGCCTGATTCCTTCTACTCTGCTCTATCTTTGCAAGAACCTGATCAGACCGACAAATCGAGTACTGCTGCCATATCGGTGCTGAAGTCTGCACTTTCCAGTCTTAACAGAGTTCAAAAGTATCTATGCAGCCTTGTGGGTAATTATTTTCCACCCTACAACTCCTTTCCTCACAGACTAAAACGTTGCAAACCTCTCCCTACTCTATTGCTATTTCCATGGAAAATGTTCTGACGAACTACATTTCTTCGTTCCACTAACTCTAACCCTCACAGTCAAGACCGTCAGGCCACGTTTACTTAGTGAACCACTCTCATTCCCACCGTGTTCCATTAGTAAGAAGGAACTTCCACTCGAACAGCTTATATGAACTGTTATTTTGTGGAACTGACTCCTAAGATGATACTTTCCTGACCACTACAGTCTTAACCTCTTCAAGTGTAGTGTCAACTGTTATATTTCCCATAATTTCCGCATAAACTTCGCTTCTTACTCTTGCTGCTCACACACCAACCGCTTTCAGTAATTCTAACTTGAATGGCCCTTGGGCCTTGTCAAGTGCACATTCGTTTTAAAAAAATCAGATATGATCAATAAGTATTATTGTTTAGGCTGCGGCCATATCGCATTGAAATACTGGTTCCGTACGATTACCGAAGTTAAGCAACGTCGAATGTAGTCAGTACCTACACAAAGAAACTATCCGACGTGTAAAACACATCTCCTCTCTATACAAAGATTTCCGGGTGAAATTTCCCTTAACGGATTTCCTTTTAAAATAGAGGCGTCGATGTTTGTCTTCTCTTCCTGGTCATCTATCTCCGCCAAATGTTGATGTCATTCTGTTTACTTGAAGCAATCACCCGAAAACACGTCGACTGTCTTTTTACTCAACATTCATTTTAGTTTTATTTCCAATGTATCATCATTCGTATTTTCTGTTTCGATTATGAGGGATGTCAAAATTCAACCAATTTTTTTCTGTCCTCCATCTTTCGTTACGTCGATGTCGTTATCTGTCACGAGCTTCAGACCATTTACATTTTTCTTTCGTATATATTTATCTTAGCTAAATCTGATTCATTGTCTTGATAGTAGATAAACGAGGGCAGAATCCTCTACATCCGTTTCTCAACCCTTTTTACTTCAGGGTGTACTTGCGAAATAAATAACGTATGTAATTGAATATAATGCGAGTTTTTTTAATCAGTTTTATCATTTCATTCCAAGCAAGGGAACAGAGCCACTAACACTAACCGATTGGGGTCAGCTGCTAAGAAAGTTAGTTCATTGTGTCGGGCGAAATATTTTTATCTCCAGAATCTATCTTACATATCTATAAGTCTACTATTCGTCCATGCTTAGAATATTGCTGCCACATATGGACCGGTGCCGCTACGATTTACCTAAGGCTCGTTGATAAATTCCAAAGAAGAATCAGCAATATTATTGCTCCTTATCTGGCATCTCGGCTTCAGTCAATTTTCCACCGCCACAAGCTTATCTCCGTGTGTCTTTTCTATAAATACTTTCATGGTGATTGTTCGGATGAGGTCTTCGCTATGAATTGTACATATGGGGACTAGTTAGGATTTTCATAGAGACAGTGAGGTATTATGGTGACTGTAGTAAGAAAGGTACGTAAGAATGTGTTTTGGTGTAAGGAATATTGTTTGTATGATTGGGTCAGTGTTTGTGGCTAGCTAAGTTTAAAGTTAAGACAGGAGAAGACCGTCCTTTCCCCCCATTCCCCATTTTGGCCTTGTACCACTTTTTTTTTTGTACATAGCAGAAATAAATATCGCTCTTCGCTATGGTACCTAGGCTTTTTACTAGACTGTCGTCAAGATCTCGTCAATTTTCAGTGTACCTGCCTAGATATACCGTAAGTTCTATGCTAACAGTCTCCTTTCCCGCACTTCTCGCTTGTGAAAATCCCTTCCGGCTCCATTCTTTCCAGCCAATTATAATCTACAAAAATTTAAATCCAATGTCAATCGCTATCTACTGTCCTCCTGATTACTCTTTTCTCTTCCTGCTCATTATTAATGTTTCTGTTCTTAATTCTTCCACACCCTGTAAGCTCTTGTGTCTTAGTGGCTTTTACTAACTTGCATGGAATGATACCGATTAAAAAAAAAATAAACACGCAGGATATTGCTGAGTGTGAAGGAATATAAGAAAAACATTATCAAGGAGCGAGAACAATAAAAGGACATAATTTAAAACAACAAGATAACGATTGAGGCTGCATTTAAATTTTTGACGATCAAAATTCACTGGAAAAGAAGCCGGGAGAGAGTTCCACAAGCGAGAAATGGGAGAAAAGAAAATGTTAACACAGAACTGTAGTTGAAGAGAAAAATAAAATTTACTGCCCAGCGCAAGGAGTGATCTCACAACCTTCAGTCAACCAACTAGAGACTTCAGCTTTTAATGGACATGTCACTATTTATACCACCGTGGATCCACTACATAGTGTCACAACAGAGTGACAGTTTTCTTGTACTCTTAGGACTGTCTCCTTGTATAGGTTAAATAAGTCTGATGAAAAACGCAACCTTGCTTTTTTATATTCAGTGAATATATTCTCTATTCGCATGAAGACTGGTTTTTTTTTTTTGGTTTTTTTTTTGTTTTTTTGGTTTTTTTTTGTTTTTTTTTGTATTTTGTTTTTTTTGTATTTTGTTTTTTGTTTTGTTTTGTTTTTGTATTTTGTTTTTTTTTTGTTTTTGTATTTTGGTTTTTTTGGGGGTTTTTTTTTTTTTTTTCAAATAATGGTTATGACTCATTCTAATATATTTTTTATGTAAATAAGGCTTTCCTGACATTTCAAGTAGCTCTTTTGTGTTGTACTTTCCCCAAATGTTTTAAAGGAAAAAATACAGGAAAGTTCGACAAGTTCCCTAAAAAAACAAAACACAAACATTTTTGATACAGCATAATATTAATAGAGCTTCTACGGTGGAGTAATGGATAGCGGCTCGGATTGAGGAATCGGAGAGCCGAGTTCAAAACCATTACATTCACTTACCTGCTAATACCGTTGGGAAAAGTATGAATCGTCTTCTTCCTCCCACCTCCACCAGCTATGGGTAAATAGCAAGATAGACCGGGTTCTATAGCCTTGGATGGCAACTGGTCTATCGCAAAAAGAAATGGCAACCTACTGCGGAAAAAAATCTGCCTCGCCTGTCATGTATCGAAAGATACATGATCGCCTAAACGTGTATCACGCATGGCACATAACTGACTAACCATAAAGTAATGAAAAGTAAGCTATTCTCGCAGACCGTTGATAGTATAGAGCAGTGTATATCAACCGGCGTGTCCAGGCGTAATAATGCGCCCTAAAACATAGCCAGGTATGCTTTAAGTTAACAGAAGTGTAATTTGTTTTTGTTTTGTTTTTTTTTTTTTTTTTTTTTGTTTTTTTTGTTTTTTTTTTTGTTTTTTTGTTTTTTTGTTTTTTTGTTTTTTTAATATTTAAAACAACTTTATTTTTAAAAAGCTAGAGGCACCAATCACATGGCTTCCGTGTCGAATCAAGTCTTTGTCATTTGATATTTTTAACTGGAGGCTAAATTCTTTCATCTTTAAAGAGTGGATAATCCTTTCTCTTTTGTCTTCCTAAAGGCATAATAACTAAGGCCTAACATTTAAAAATTTGCCAAAGCACATCAAGACCAAGTTTCACACAAGCATAATTAAATATACAATATAATGTCGTAAAAATAAATGCTTATTTCAGGAGACTTCTTTATTATTTTCCTATTTTCAAATTTTATTACTAATTTTTCCTTATACAGCATGCGGCAGAAATACCCCCCACCACATAATGGTACATTTGTAGCAATGAGGTCTTCATCTAGCTAACGTCTTACCATTATGTGGGAGGTATTTCCGTCGCAGCTTTTATAAATTGCGGCCGAGAGTTTAATCGTATATAAGCTGACTTCATGAGTACCCACCCATCACCACCAAGAATAAAATTACCTGTGTTTAGCGTAACCAGTTCCTGAAAATGCATAATTTTAACCTCTTCAAAAAAGCAGTCATAATGTCAGTCAGTTATATGCCTTCTCGATACATGACTGACGAGGCAGATTTTTTTCTCCACAGTAGATTGCCATTTTTTTCTGCCAGTTGCCATCCAAGGCTATAGAACACAGTCTGCCCTGCTATTTATCCATAGCTGGGGGTGGGGAGAAGAGGAGGATTCATACTTTTCCCAAG